GAAATCACATTCATCATCATCAGGCTTGTGCCCCTAGCTTTGTGCTTCTTAGAGTAATATTATTATTACTCTAAGAAGCACAAAGCTAGGGGCACAAGCCTGATGATGATGAATGTGATTTCATCGAAACGTCGCTATGATACTTCTAATCTTACACGGGAGAAAACCCGAATGACCAAAGACTCACATATAAACACCCGTGAAAACCTTAAAAAACAAATATATATATATATATATACCCCAGCTTTCCCCCTCCGCTCTAGACCCTCTTTATTTTGTCTTCCTAAAGCCAATCTTCAGGTAGGGAGATCTACACATTTGCCACACAATCCGTGCTGTCTAAGAACATAAAATCAACTGCATAATGTGTTGTATTTTATGATTTGTGATGAATGTATTTTTTATGTCAATTGTGATCATGATTTATCACTATTGTTTGTATGTACACTGAGAGCTTACGCACCGGAGACAAATTCCTTGTGTGTCCAACCACACTTGGCCAATAAAGAATAGAATAGAATAGAATAGAATAGAATAGAATAGAATAGAATAGAATAGAATAGAATAGAATAGAATAGAATAGAATAGAATAGAATATAGAGTAGTGTAGTGTAGTGTAATTAGAGTAGAGTAGAGTAGAGTAGAATAGGAAGGGATCTTGGAGGTCTTCTATCCAGCCCCCCGCTTAAGCAGGAGAACCTATACCATGTCAAACAAGTGACTGTCCAGTCTCTTCTTAAAAACCTCCAGTGATGGAGTGCCCACAACTTCTGGAGGCATGCTGTTCCACTGGTTAATTCTATCAAATCTGAAGCTAGCGATTTAATAGGTTTCTCACTGACAGTGCATTTGACAAGCGACTAGTATCCCAAGCAATGATGCTTATGAACATATTTTCTTTTCTTCCTTTAGGACAAGGGAAGATGCAGACTTGATAGCGCATGACAATGTAATTCTGGATAGACTTTTTTCAGCCCCAACAAATTCCCAGCATGTACAGACCAGGAGAGAAAGCCAAACGGCGGCTGCGCGCTCACGCTTCCAGCATCAGAAACGTCGAAATTGCTAGAGGGAGAGCGGGATACGGTTTTACCCTTTCTGGCCAAGCTCCCTGCGTGCTTAATTCTGTTTTAAAAGGAAGTCCCGCAGATTACGTGGGGCTCAAGGCCGGGGATAAGATATTTGCGATCAACGAAATTAACGTGAAGAGGGCCTCCCACGAAGATGTGGTGAAGCTGATAGGCAAATGCTCCGGGGTTTTGCACATGGTCATTGCGGAAGGGTTCGGTCACGCTGAAGCTTGTTCAAGCGACGAAGAAGATGGTCTTTATGATGGCAAAGGGTGGCCAAAGACCAAGCCTGACTTGAAAGGCCCCGGTATAAACCGGGCGGAGAAAGTGGTGGAGGAAATGCAATCAGGTGAAATTTTCAACATGATCTTCGAAAGTTCTAATATTTGTGCTAGCGAGGTGCCGATACCCAAAAGAAAAGAAACATCCGCTCACGATGGGGCCAAGATGGAAACGGAACCTCCGCCTAGGAACGATCAACCCCGCGTGCCGTACAATGAGGAACAGCCACAAGCCTTGAACAATGACTCGTTTTTTCGGGCTGGATGGGAAAACCAGGAGTACTGCGGAATTGACGCCAGCATTCTAAACGTGGCCATGATCGTGGGCTACCTGGGATCCATCGAACTCCCTTCTTCGAGTTCGAATCTGGAATACGACAGCTTGCAGGCCATCCGCGGTTGCATGCGCCGTCTTCGGGCTGAGCAAAGGATCCATTCCTTAGTGGCGATGAAGATCATGCACGACTCCATTGAGCTCTGCACGAACCTGTCCGTTGTGATTGCAAAGTATCCAGCCGAGAAGCTGGCCTTTAGCGCTCTCTGTCCCGACGACAAACGGTTTTTTGGACTGGTCACTATGCAGAGCGTGGACGAGGCAAGCTTAGCTCCGGAGGACGAAGTGGTCTTGAGGACCTCCTGCCATGTGTTTATGGTGGATCCGGAGCTATTCAGTCATAAAATTCATCAGGGCATTGCCCGCCGATTCGGATTGGAGTGCACGGCGGATCCCGACACCAACGGCTGCCTTGAGTTCCCTTTGTCGTCTCTCCCGGTCCTTCAGTTTGTCTCTGTTCTGTACAGGGACATGGGGGATTTCATCGAGGGGGTGCGGGCCAGGGCCTTCCTCGATGGAGAAGCAGATGCCCATCAGAACAACAGTATGAGCAGTAACAGTGACAGCGGGATCGGGAACCTCCATCAAGAAGAAAAAAGTAGGGTTTTAGTGGTCGATTTAGGAAGCAACACCAACAAACACCTGCTTGGTAATAACGTACAGGGCAGTCCAATAAACAGAGCTCACAACTCCCACTGGAATTTTGTTCACGAACAAGAAAACGTAGGGTCAGGAGCCGTGTTCCAAAACGATAAATCTCAAAACCTAAATAAATTCCTGGCATCTTCCGCTCATGTTGACGTTGCGGTAGCGGCTTCGAAAAGCTCAGCGCCGCCAAATAAGAAGAACCCCGCGGACAATCAGAGGTGGTTGCCTGTTCACGTACTGAAAGATTGGCAACAGGGATGTCTCAGCGACCAAGAGTCGTACACGGATTCCACCGACGGCTGGTCAAGCGTCAACTGCGGGACGCTTCCGCCTCCTATGAATAAAATCCCTGCGGATAGATACAAGGTCGGCGGCGGCTTTGGCCAGCCTCATCTCGTGTCCCCGACGAAAGAACTGGCTGAGAAAGAATTTCAGGCGGCTTCGGATCCCTTCGACTCTCGACCCGGTTTCAGAACAACCAGAGAAGAAAAAAAGATAAGTACGGTACGTTAATAAAATAGTAGGTAGTCCTTGTCTTACAACAATTCATTTAGTGACCGCTCAATAACACTGTTATTTCTCTTTATTTCCTGCAATAGGGAACTTTATATACCGCTGCTGCTGTTGCTGTTGTTAAGATGTTATTCTTTCCTGCCTGAGCAGGAGGTTGGACTAGATGACCTCCAAGGTCCCTTCCAACTTTTATATGATGAGGATGAGGATGAGGATGATTATTATTATTATTATTATTATTATTATTATTATTATTATTATTATTATTATTATTATTATTATTATTATTATTATTAAATATGCTGACTATAAATCCCTTAGAGAGGTCTGTAAAGTACCGTGAAGCGGTATAAAACTCTTAAGTGCTATTGTTATCGCTGGGAAACAGATTTTCCCGTCATTCCTTCCCCCCTCTAGTCCTAGAAGGGTGAGGGTCTCCACTCAGTGGAAAAGGCTGCATTGGTTTGCAGTGGAGTTCAGTGGGAAGAAAAGAAAGTCCTCAAACGAGCAGAGATCTTGTCCAGGAGTAGATTTTTGCTCAGGAAGAGAGGCCTTATGTCTTTGCCGAGTGCAGGGGGATCTACCAACCTTTTGGGGTGCAGGAGCAGCTGCTCTGGAAGGGAGGAAAGGGTGAACAATTTGTTCCATACCCAATGTGCCTGCCTAAATCTGGATTTCCCCCCCCCCGTCCCCCCTGTTGCGTGCTCAGAGTTGGAGAGAATGAAAGCAGGCTATTTAAAGCCTTTACCATTTTCAGACAATGTTTTTCTCTCAAATTCAAGAGCACCCCACAATAAGAACGTTTTTAGACACCATTGTGTAAGAATAGAACCAAAAACCCTGCAATTAAGAAAATTACATTACTGGGTCGACACTAAACAAATCCCAGCTGCGGCTAATTTTGCTCGACAAAGAACTTGAAAACCTGCCAAATGGAAGCAAAGATTGGGCAGTGTAATTGCCCAACAAAAAGAACTCCAGGCCGGGTTGTGCCGTTGTGTTAGCGTTGTCCGTGCATCAGCAAGTAATGGTGGATAAATTGGGACGAGGGATTTCTTGCGATCGACACGAGTCCAATAAACGATCATTTTATTGAGTATCTCCCAAGAGCTAATATTCTTCCCGAATAAGTAGAACAGAAGAATAGAGTATAGAATAAAAACTTTATTGTAGTGTCCCGGGGGGGGTGTCACGTGATCCCCTTTTGCAGCCTTCTGACAAGCAAAGTCAACGGGGGAAGCCAGGTTCATTTAACAATGATCGCTAGCAGGAGTAGGCAACCTTGGCTCCTTTATGACTCCTGGACTTCAACTCCCAGAATTCCTGAGCCAGCATGGGGGAACTATGGACCCTTCATGACTCGTGGACTTCAACTCCCAGAATTCCTGAGCCAGCATGGGGGAACTATGGACCCTTCATGACTTGTGGACTTCAACTCCCAGAATTCCTGAGCCAGCCACGCTTAGGGGAAAGGCAGAGGTTTCCAAGCTGAGCCTGGCTGGCTCAGGAATTCTGGGAGTTGTAGTCCACGAGTCATAAAAGAGCCAAGGTTGCCTACCCTTGAGCTAGAGCAAGGAACGGGAGCTCATCCTAAACTAAAAAACTTTTGAGAAAATAAGAACATTATAATACAACATTAATTTGTTTGATGTGGATGGTGAGAATTTAAATAGGTGTGTACTCCGAACATTAGATTTAGTGAGGCATGGTGATAAAAGAACTGGGATCTTTCAAAATTTGGGGAATGATAAGTATTAAACCTCAAATTTAAATATTAATGGAAAATTAAAATTGGAAAAAGGTACCAGGTCACTGATTGTCTAAAAGATTGAATGCTAAAGCAATTAGAATATTTATAAACTTAAAAACTATTGACAAAAGTAAGAAAGTTATTTTTAATTGGATTGATAAAACAAGAATTGTTGTAATCTAAACAATTTTTTGTATGGGGTATTTTGTATGGGGTATTTTGTATGGGGTATTTTTAGAGCAGGCCTGTTATTTAATTTGATTTTAGAACAGAAACTTGCGTATATTTATCGTGGTTTTTATTATCGCCTGTTCACCGCCCTGAGTCCCGTAAGGGAGATAGGGCGGTATATAAATTCAATAAATAATAATAATAATAATAATAATAATAATAATAATAATAATAATAATAATAATAATAATAATAATAATAAAAAACATGGACAGTTTCTATTAAGGGGAAAGAGAGGAAATGCTTACGGTAATAGTTTGAGGTTTATACTAATGATACTTGTTTGTAATTGAATTATTATAACTCAGCCGCCACGTTGTTTTTCAAATATGCAAATGCAATATCAGAAAATTAATAAAATGTATATATATATGAAAAAAGGAACGGGAGCTCACCCTGTCTACAGCGCTTGGCTCTTGAACCCAAGTGACGGCTTTCAAGCCGACAAGCCCAGCATCTTAACCCTTAAGCTGCTGCTGTCGCCCCCACCCGGAGAGGGGAATGCCTAAATTGGCAGTTCCCATCGGACGAAAGGGGGAGCTTTTGGTTGCACCCACACTTTTACTGTTTATTCTCCTCTGTGCGTAGGGAATTGGCTTTAAAAATGAGGCTTAATAAAAATTTGCTTTCAAGGAAGTACCAGGGAAATAGATCATGCAGAACGAAGACGGAAAGCTAATCCAACATCTTTTTTTTGTGGCTTATTAAGGGGGCAAAATTCGGACCCGAATTCGGATTGGCACAACTCTTCCATCATTCTTCTTCGGCTCGAAAATCGTTTGGGCGCGCCAAGAGATTCAGCGTTACCCGTTCGCTCGAGGATCTCGAGGTAACTGTGACTTCCATGACTTCCTACGAAGACGGTAAAGGCGGGTGAATAAGTTAGTTCATTTTGACACTGGAAAAGTAATAGAAAAGTTCATTAAGTACAAACCTTAAGATCTGCCTTGAAGTGACGTTGCGCTTCCCCATTTCCTCGTTTTTTGAGTCTTAAATTCTGCTTTTCTTAGCAATGTTTAGTATTCGTGACTGCAAAGGTTTTCTTATTCAGAGAGGTTCATGGAATTAAACTTTGGGGATGGTGCGATCAGCGAGGGCACAATTGATCTCCAGATGTCAGTCGCTAAGTGAGACATTTGTTGAGCGTGGCCCTATTTTACGATCTTTCTTGTCACAGCTGTTAAGCAAATCGCTGCGGTCGTTAAGTTAGAAAAACGGTTGTAAAGTGAATCCGGCTTCAATTTTGCTGGTCAGAATGTGGCCAAAGGGGACCATGTGATCCCGGGGCACTGCGACACCGTCATGAGTAAGAGGCAGTTGACAAGCATCTCAATTTTAATCACGGGACCACGAGGACGCTGCCCTGGTCATAAGTGTGGGAAAAAAATGGTCGTTAAGTCTCTTGTCTCAAGTGATGCTGCAACTTCCAACAGTCACTGCGATGCTTTAATTGGCTCTTCAGAACGTTCTCGAAGACACACTTTTCTTTTCTTTTTAAAGTATTTTATACATTTTCTATTCTTACAATTCGTTAGTGCTTAATGCACGACGTGTGGTCCGGGTTGATTTTTTTGCTTAGTCACAAAAGTTACTCTCTATCTCGTTTTTCCAGCCATTGATAAAATAAGTCCCATGTTGGGAAGTATTCTGTGTCTTCTTTTTTCTTTGATTCTCAATGTAAGTGTCATGGTTCCGACAGATGAAACTCTTCAAAGAACTTCGAGGCATTGTTTACCTTAAAGAATCTTTATTTAAGTTGCATAGCATCGGCACTAACATAATCGAAGCCAAAAACTGAGTTCCCCTCCTCTTGAGCACGTAGTATCAAAGCACAATTCCCTCCCCCAATTAACAGTCATAAATCACATTCCCCAATTAGCTTGAAATGCAGGCTTTCCCTCCAGTTCTCCAGCCCGCCAATTCTTATCATCTCCTATTTCAATAACCTTGGTTCTCACACTAGGTACAGGTTATTATGTCTAGCTAGACCAGGGATCCTCACCTTGGCAACTTTAAGACTTGTGGACTTCAACTCCCAGAATTCCTCAGCCAGCAAAGCTGGCTGAAGAATTCTGGGAGTTGAAGTCCACAAGTCTTAAAGTCGCCAAGGTTGAGGACCCCTGAGATAGACTCTCATGCACATCCCCCCCCCTCCCCAGCATCATCTAACTCTAAAAGCAAAGAGAATGGCTGCATCTCCATCTCTTGTCAATGCCAAAACATCCGATGTTAGCAGCGTCGACAGTAAGTCTTGTCTAGCTCAGCACAGCTGAAGACACACTTTTCAACATTTCAGAGCTCAAGCTGGCTTAAAACGAGTGGGTGTGGTGCCCATTATTTTTTTTATTTTTATTTTTGGGTTGGGGGGGGAGGAATCCTGTTTTGCCAGGAAAAAAGAAGCTCTTGTAAACTCAACTCAAAGGAGCAAAGAACGGGCAGGCCGACTGGAGCAAGCCGCAAAGCAGACTTTGCCGTGTGATTACAATCTTCCCTGGACTTGCAGCTACACGCCAAAGAAGCACGCGAACAGGCAACAAGCTTTTGCAGGAACTGTCTGAATCCGGAGCTGGAGATTCAACTTGCCTAAACGAAGAACTGAAAAAGAAAAAAGAAAAAAAAGAAAAAAAGAAAAGGAATTGGCGGACTGCTCATTGCTATGCAGAGGCTGTCACGGCAGGAATTTAAAGCCTTGAGTTTGGGCTGCTTCTCCCTGTTGTAGCGCAGTGAAGGAGCCTACTACGTTGAACCTGGGTGGGGAGAAAGGAGGGAAAGAAGATCAGACACTTCCCACTCCCAGTTGTTTTGCGAGGAAGGAACAGCGAGCATGTCTCAGCAAGGAATCCAAGAATTTTACTTAAATGGGAGATAAGGCCCCAAAGTCTGTCTGTTCATGGATAAAGTTTGCAAAGCCAGTCACGTAAGTTTTCCTTTTTCTTAAAAAAAAAAAAAAAAGGGAATAGTCTATATTGGGAGCAAAAAAAAAAATCTTTCTGTCTTTATTCTGCGGATTGTTGATTTTCTCTCTTGGGTTATTTAATGACGATGTCAATGAACAATAATTTCCTAGCATCCTAATGTTCAACGGTGACCGCTTCGTTTTAAGTTTCCTAAGCGATTTGAAATAGCGATTCTTTTCTCGCTGTTTTCTTAAGCTGCTTTAATGTTTGTTTACAACGAGCTCCACCCTTTTGTGGCTCGTTCAAAATTTCAAATCCGCTGGCGTGTCGCTTTGCTGGAGGTTTTATGTCTTTCGAACCGGACGGAGGAAAACGTTTCAAAAGATCGGGGCGGAATAATTTAAAAACCGGACAGATTGATGGCGAAAAGAACGTTAAAACGGCGGGACTATTCCTTAGGCTCTTTTATCCCTGTTGAGAAAAAAAGAAATGTTTGGTTGAGAAGGAAGCCCCATAAAGCTACGTCGGGCTCATGTCTGCGAAGCCTTGCCTTGGATTGCACGTTTTCCACGGGGATGTTACCGATGGTTGGTCAGTTTAACTTCTGATATTCAGATATTTGCAACCTTCCTCCCCAAAGACAAAAGTTTTAATCTCTGATTCGTTGTCTTACATTATGTATGGAGGCGATGTGTTTTTTTCTCGATGGGAACAGCTGCTGGCGAGGAATAATGGATGATGAATGAAAAAAACGAGAGGAACGTGTTCAGACATTAGTGAACAATCCTCAAGCACACCTAGCTCTAGACTTAACAACCGTTTGTTTAGTGACCGTTCAAAGTCGTGACGGCATGGGAAAAAGTGACTTAGGACCATTTTTCACACTCCCACGGTCACGTGATCCAAATCCAAAGGCTCGGCAACTGGCATGTACTTACGATGGTTGCAGCGTCCCTGGAGTCACGTGGTCCCCTTTTCGCGACCTCCTGACAAGCAAAGTCAATGGGGGGAAGCCAGATTCACTTAATAACGGGGCTACCGACTTAAATACCGCAATGGTTCGCTTAACAACAGCAGCAATAAAAGTCGTAAAATGGGGGCAAAACTCACTGAGTAGATGTTTCCCTCGGCGACGTCAATATGGGGCTCAACTCTGGCCGTAAGTCAAGGACTGCCTGCACACGCAACCAGCGGACTTAGTTTGTGTACATGTGTGCCTGTAATTACCGTTTCCGTTCCTGTGAATGGATGGGTTAGATCAGAGGTCTCCAAACTTTCCGGCAGACCGGAAAGAAAGGCAGAAGGAAGCATTTTATGCACGCACGCATGTGCATGCACACCAACAGGGCGATGCTAGCACCCGCGTGACGGTCACTAGCACCGTCCCGTTTTTGCCGCGCGGTTCCCCATTTTTGTCACGTGGCGCCCCGTTTGCGTAGCGCTGGCAGTACTAGCGTGAGTGGGGGGTGAGTGCGTTCACTGGCCAGCTTGTTCCCTGGCCTGGTGGCCAGTAGGCCACGGCCCGGTAGTGGGCCACGGCCCACAGATTGGGGACCTCTGGATTAGATGACAGACGGATCAATATTTCCAGCAGGGTCTCACACTGGTGGGTTAGCCGGAACCAATTTCTGCAGGTAAACGAAGCGGGAAGGTCCCCTGGCCCGCAGTTAGATTCAGGGGCCACATCTTCTGTTTTTAGCTGCTTCCAAGGATTTCGTTATTTTTTTTTTTTGTTTAGTTATACATCTATCTATATAAATATCTATATAAATAAAAATGTAAATGTTCGTTTGTTCAAAATCTTAAATCTCCGAAAGTTCTTCACCGATTGCTTTGAAATTTTGACACAACGTTGCATTCAAATACGCGCGTGTTTTTATATACCTACTATTGTATAGATGTCACACCTGTGACAGGTAAAAACATGCTTTTTTTGAAAAACAGCGCCATCTGTTGGATGTAAAAGCAACACCCGCTTTTACCAGACTGAGCCACAGCAACGCGTGGCTGGGTACAGCTAGTTAATACCATAAGATGCAAAAACACAAATGAAAAGAGTAGGAAGGATAGGGGAGGGAAAAGAGAAGGGAAAAGTATGGGAAAAAGGGGAAAAAAGGAAAAAAAGGCATTGACTTCTGACTCCCTTTGGCGCAGTAGAATAAGTTCATAAACATCCAACCTCAACTTTTTACTTTTACTTACTAGTATGAGCCAGCCATTTCTCTAACGACAAACTTATCCCATTGGTATAAAACCCAAAATCAAATTTTCATTTTTTTTCCCACCTCGAGCACAGAGTCCAGAAGTGGTTTCCAAGTAGAAACAAAAGACATTGTGTGGTTTTTTTTTTTTCTTTAATCAAAGCTATCAGCTTAGCCATCCCTGCTAACTCCCATCAACCTCTGCAGCCCTTCATCCGTTGTGGGAATCACAGCGTCCTTCCGTTTTTGTACATAAAGTAATCTTGTTGCCGTCAACATATATAGCATCAAAGTTCCCAAATTTTTTTCCCCCAAGTCTTTTTCCATTAAACCCCAAAGAAAAGTTTCTGCTTTTATCTTAATATTCCCTTTGAGAATCCTATTTCTTTGCTTTTTCACATGTCCACCATAAATGATAAAAAAGACCCTTCTTTACTTTTGTGTTTCCAACATTCAAGGATTTTCACGGGCTTCTGTGCTTCGAATTGCTTCTCCACCCTCCCTGTTAAGTACTCCAGTAGAAAAAAAAAACAGACCAACCACACACACACACACACACAAACACATACACAGAGGTCAACAAGGCAAAAGCTGGGCGTTAAAAGTTAAAAGAAATGAGTTAAAAGTTAGAGAGAGAAAAATTAGGCAGTTAAGTATGTTGGCGTCAGGGATGGGAAGACTCATGGCTGTGTCACACTATCTTGAAAAACGACAAAACAACAACGCAGGCT